TTTGTTGTTTTTTGTATTTTTGTTTTTTGTTTTTGTTTTTTTTTGTTTTTGTGTGTGTGTGTGTGTGTGTGTGTGTGTGTGTGTGTGTGTGTGTGTGTGTGTGTGTGATGGTGGTGATGTGTTTTGTTTGTCTGTTTGGGTTTTTTTTTTGGTTGTTTGGTTTAGTCTCTTGGGACCCAGTCTTGTAATGTATCCCTGACTGGTCTTGAATGATTAGCAATCCTCCTGGCTACAGACACAATGCTGCCATTACATATGTGCACCATTATACTCCAAAGCTTTATTGTAAGTGGTGGGATATAATGGACCTTCAAGTTAACTTTCTTCTAGCAACCAAGTTCTTCGGGTCCACTAAGCATAACTGTTGTCATATTTAAAGCTGGGGGATGTGATACTCAGGCACAGGGAACTTCCTGCCTCCACTTCTCATCTCACCATGGCCAGGATGACAAGTACACATCTCCACGCTCAGCTTTAAATTTTATTTGGGTCCTGGGGAATCAAACTTGGGACTTTCTGCAAATTTGGCCAGTGCTGTGTCAACTGAGCCATGCTCCCGACCCCATAAATAACTAGTTTTCTCACAACTCATGATGTTTCCTTGGTCCAACTCTCATGGCTGAGTAACGTTCTGTGGATGGCTATTTCACAGTTTGGTTTTAATCATTTATTACCTGAAAGACATCAGGGCTTTCCAATGGTGGGCTATTCGATGTAACCTACTGTGGACATTCCTGTCATTCCTGTATAGGCTTATTATGTTTTGTTTGTTTGAGGTTTTGTTGTTCTGCAGTCCTGGGGCTTGGACCCAGGACCTCCAGCATGCTTAAGTGCACCAAAATACATCCCCAGCCTAGTACAGAACTTTTTGTTGTTGCCTTGGTTTGCTTTAGCTTTTGAGACAGGGCTTTACTGTGCAGCCAGGCCAGCCTGACACTTGCAATCCTCCCATCTGCATGCTGCTATTACAGGTGTTCACCACCATACCCTTCTGATGAGGAATGTACTTCTGTGTATGTTCATCTTATTGATTGTTGAATAAAGTACTGTTTGGCCAATGAGGCAGCAAGTTAGATGTGACTAGGAGTCAAGGAGGATTCTGGGAAATGTAGTAAAGAAGTGGTGATCCAGACAGGAAGTGACATAGCAGAGAGACATATTTAAGCAAGGACAAGCAGGAAGTGGTTGCTTTTCCCCTTGACTCTTCTTCCTGCTCTCTGCTCTGAGTCATCATATGATCCCAGGAATTAGGATGCCAGTGGAAGGCGCCGGATAAGATAAGTCTTATAAAATATATAGATTCATGATAATTAAGACTGAGCTAGCAGATGAGGAATCCTAGTCATTGGCCAAGCAGCATTTGTACCTAATATAAGTCTCTGTGTATTATTTGGGGCCCTAGTGCAGCTAGTGGAACTCAAGCAGGTGGTGGAAAGATTTATCGTAACACCCTTCTCCCTGTAAAATCTTTTAAATGCTTGGAGGTGCTCTTCTTGGGTCGTGTGGATTTTTTTTTTTTTTTGAGACAGGGTTTCTCTGTGTAACCCTGGCTGTTCACTATATAGACCAGGCTAGCCTCAAACTCACAGAGATCTATCTGCCTGAGCCATGACTGCCTGGCTTTAGAAGTATTTTCTAGAATGATACCTTGATAACTTTTCCTAGGAAGATACACACAAATGTTTATTCACCCACAACCAAACAATTCCACCAAAGTCCAAAGTAGACAAACGATGAATTTCCTAGGGTCACTTTCAGGAGCATGGATGACTCAAAGGCAACTGTGTCATTAGAAGGACTATATCACATGGGTGATGACTCATGAATGCTCATCTCTGGGGCTCCCTGTGGGACTTGTGGAGGGAGCTTGGGTTTTCCAACTTTAGATAATTATATTTATACTACTGAGGACATACCAAGATATCTCTCTGTCTATCTCTCCTTTCCTCTCTCTCTCGTCCTGGGGATAGGACTGAGAACTAGCTCTACCAACATCTACCCTCTTATGAATTTTGTTAGTTTCAGGAACTTTTCTGAGCCTTGCATGTTTCATCTGTTTCCTGAGTCTTTTTTGTCTTTTTTATTTTGTTTTGTTTTGTTTTACAAGACAGGGTTTCTCTGTATTGCTTTGGAGCCTGTCCTGGAACTCGCTTTGTAGACCAGACTGGCTTCTAACTCACAGAGATCCACCTGCCTCTGCCTGCTGAGTGCTGGGATTAAAGGCATGTGCCACCAATGCCTGTCGTATTTTCTGAGTCTTAAAGAGTCTCCTTCTAAGATGCTGTTTGGAGGGAAAAGACACACAATAAATGATTGAACCATTTCATATTTCTAGAAATCTGGCAAGTGTGATCCTTTTTTTTTTTTTTTTTTTTTTTTTGCATTTCCATCTGAACTTGATATTGCTTTTCTTTTTTATTTATTTAGTATGTATACAGTGTTCTGCCTGCACATGTCTCTTCACACCAGAAGAGGGCACCAGATGTCATTACAGATGGTTGTGAGCCACCATGTGGTTGCTGGGAATTGAACTCAGGACCTCTGGAAGAGCAGTCAGTGCTCTTAACCTCTGAGCCATCTCTCCAGCCCTGAACTTGGTATTATTAAGATTTTCCTTTTTCTTTCTTTCTTTCTTTCTTTCTTTCTTTCCCTTCCTTTGTATTTTTTTTTTTAAGCAGAGACTCAAACTGTGTAGCTGAAGACGACCTTGAACTTCTGATCCTCCTACCTCTACCTCCTGAGAGCTAGGATTACAGGTGCCCCACTTCTGGTTTATGCTTTGCTAGGGATGGAACCCAGGATTTCCTGTACACTATGCAAGCATTCTACTAATAGAGCCACATTCCCAACCCTTCACTGTGGCTTTAATGTGCATTTCCCTAGTGGGCAACCACACTGAACACCTTGTGAGGTGCTTAGCATCCTTATACCCCCTTACTGAACTGTCCAAGATGTCTGCTTATTTTGTAATTGAGTTGTTTCTTTTCTTCCTCCCCCCACCTTTTTTTGAGACAGGTGTGTGTGCCACCACACCGAGGATCTTGTTTTCATACTATTTTAGTCTTTCATGAAAGTTTAAGTTTTGAGAAAGGGTCTTCTGTTGTAGTCTGGAGCTCTCTAGCTCAAGCTGGCCTCAAACCCACAACAATCCTCCTGCCTCAGCTTCCAAAGTGCTTGTATTACAGGTGTCCAGCCTTAACGGTTTTAAATTTTATTTTTACATTTACTTATTTAAAGTGTGTTTGGGTAGTGTTATGTGTATAGGGGTCAGGGGACAACTTATAGGAATGCATTATTTTCTCCTTCTACTATGTGGGCCCTAGGGACCCAGCTCTGATCCTTAGGCTTTGAAGTAGATGACTTTACTTACAGACCCTCCAGCCTTGAAATGCTAATGGACTACAATTTATCTTCATCCCCCATCCATCTCTGGACTTGTTTTGACTAGTCTATTGGAATTTATTTATATTTTATGCACATTAGTGTTTTGCCAGGGGTTTCAGGTCCTCTGGAACTGGAGTTACAGACAGTTGTGAGCTGTCCTGAGTGCTAGGAATTGAACCTAGATCCCCTGGAAGAGCAGCCAGTGCTCGTAACTGTCGAGCCATCTCTCCAGCATTTGACTAGCCTCTTGAAGGGTTCCCTCATAGTTTCTCCGAATGGTTTAAAGTTAACAGCTTCGTATTTAGATCCATTGCCCATGTCATGGTCTCCCTCTTCATACATTTTAGTATAAATTTACCAGGATGGCACAGTGGTGCATACCTGTAACGCTAGCTAGCACTGGGCAGGCCAAGACAGGAGGAACATGAGTTCTAGGCCAGCCTGAACCAGATAGCTAAACCCTATCCTCACCACCCAAAAAGATTCCTGGTTTACATCTGCAACTCTGAGGATTAACCTAAAAATGGCATTAAATATATAGACCAACTTGGAGCAAATTGATGTCTAGAATGTTAAGCCTCTCATTTCAACATATATCCCACAGGCTAGGCATGTATCTCAGTTTGATGGTGCCTGCTGATCCCAGCACTCCCAAGGTGGAGGCAGGGGATCACAATATCACGGTCGCCTGGTGGCACATGCCGTTAATCCCAGCACTCGGGAGGCAGAGGCAGGCAGATCTCTGTGAGTTCGAGGCCAACCTGGTCTATAGAGCAAGTTCCAGCACAGCCAGGGCTACACACAGAGAAACCCTGTTTTGGGGGTAAAAAAAAGTTGGCGGTCATCTTTGGCTATGCAACACGGATCAGAGTTCTCTTTCCAACCTCCGATGAGATTCTGCCTCGGCAGGTGGTCTGGGGCTGTAGTAAGAGGTCCCAATACAGGTTTACTCCCGTCTGTAGGGAACTCTCCAAAGGCCTCACCAGTCTGGGCTGGGAGCCCAATTATTGCAGTCCCCGTCCCTCCCGCCAGGGGGCAGCGCGGCGGGAAGCTGCAAACGCCTGGCACCCAGTGTGGGCCCCTCGCGCGGGGCGTCCAGGGTGGACATCCGGCCGTGCGGGGCCGCCAGGACCGAGCTCGGGGGCTCAGCTGTAGATCCCGCGGCTCCCGGTGCGGTGACCCCGGCCCCGGGGACCCCGGCTCCTGCAAGGGCCCGAACCCCTGCCCAAACTGCAAGAGCCGTTTCCGGCTCGGGTGCTCGAGTCCCGACCAGCGGGGACACCCGCACCACGCCCCCCGCAGCCCCGCCCCCCCCGCCCACACCCACCTCCCACCACTA